TTTTTTTGAGACAGGGTCTAGCTAAATTGCTAAGTTGTCCAGGCTGGGCTTGAACTTGCAATCTTCCTGCCTCAGCCTCCCAGAGTGCTGGGATTACAGGTGTGCGCCACCACGCCTGGCCAGCCTCATCATCTCTTGTTACTCAAACTGTCCCTTTTGGCAGGTACTTGAAGGGACGGTGGTTCTGGAAGAGAGACGGCTCCTGTCCCTCTTCCTCACCAACCATTGTTCTAAAGGTGACAGGGTTCAGACATACCTGATTATTATTATTATTGTTGATGTCATTGTTGTTGTCTTATTTTTATTTTAACCAAAGGTTGTCAGAGCCAATTGGGCTTGGACCTCAGCTGCTGAAAAGATTTTCCGTTTCCACAAGGGCAGAAGATGTAGCCCTGTGTGATCTCACTGCCCAGGGCTGAGAGAGGCATCCAGGGTGGTTTGGGAATTGGGTGGGCAGAGTGGATGCCAGTTCTGGGTTCTGCAAGGTGGTGGGAGGGTGACAGACATATCTTTAGAGTTAAGACAGTAAGCGATGGGATTAGTATTTGGGGGTAACAGGTTACCAAAGGCGGGGGGTGTCCTGTGGTGTTTCGTTTTCTCCCTTATATACGTAGGTCATCTGCCTTTAGGGTGCTCTGAATTTTTCAAGAAAGCATGAGAACAGCAGGTGCCAGAGAGAGACACTGGCCTGAGTCCCTTCCCGATGGCTTCTGATAGCTGCTTTCCCCTGGGGAGCAATGCTTGAAGGGTTCTTGGGGCTGGGCCTGGCTACCTCCCCTGCCACTAAATTCATTTTTAAGTTAATGGCCAGTGGGCCCTGCTTGTCCCCTCACCGTGAGCCCACAGCTTGCCAAGAGAGACCCCGCCGCTTGCCGGGGCAGCACTAGGCCCCTTTGGGACGAACTGGTCCGTCCTTTGTAAAGCTGTAAATACTTAATTTTTTTTGGTTTTTCTATTTCTCAGCCCAGTGTCATATTGACATTGGTATTTTAGAGCTGTTCTCAGATGGGTTCTCCTGTGCTGCCCTCTCTCTCACTCTCCTAGTTTTGGGGGTTTTATACACACTGAGGATTGGGGAGCAGCAGGGAAAACAGCATCCTTGGGCTCCCCGGTTGGTTGTGAAACACACATATAAGTGCACACATGCACGCGCACATGCGCACTATTCTGAGACTGAACAGGGATAAATATTACTGGCAAGCAAACACTTTTTCCTTCTCATGGCAATATGTCCCGAGGGCTCCGGAGGACCCATGCGGCTTGGACTTAGTTCTGGGGGCGGAGCTCAGATGACAGATGGAGAGTCTACCCACATCTGCTTGGGGTGGGAGAAGAGGGGGTGGGGAAGGGGATCCCATAAGGTGTAACTTAAGCTAAATGTAAACTATTTATAAAGCAAGAGACTCTTATCTATTTTTATGAAAGGAAAGGGTTTTTAATCTCAGGTAGGCAGTTGTGGCAGCCAGCATTTTTCTGTGGACAAGATACTGTGCATGTTGCTGCTGGATTTAATATACCTGGCACCCCCTCACCCCGTCTTGCCTTCCCGTCTGCACTCTGATCATTCACACCTGTGGGTGGCTTCAGCGGGTCTCACTCCCCCCGCCCCCCGTTTCTTGCTTCCGTGACTCCTCAGCTCCTTAGAGGTCTTGTGGGGGTGTCACTTTTGGGGGCAGGAGGGCTGCAAGGAATTCAGATGGGGAGTACTAGAGAGGGGCCAGGCTCTACCCAGTACGCTGTGTTTTAGTGTAGGCTCTGATTACTCACCCCAGCTGTGCTCTGCCAAGCCCCATTTCTAACTCAGCTGTGTTGGGAGCGGGCTGAGAAGCAGCCGAGCGTGGCTGGCTGTAGGGCTGTAGGTTTGGGGAGCGCACACACCACCTCCTTTGGGCCTGGGCCTTTGCAGGTGCCAGGCTGTCAGGCAGCTGGGCCGGGAGAGACAGTAAGATGCTCAGAGCCCACTCCTGGCGGTGCCTGCTCCAGCTCAAGGACTGGGCTGCAATCCTGTGCTCCTGGATGACAGACAGAGTGCCGGGGTTTCCCCAGGCTTGGGTCCTCTCCTTGGGACACTGAGTTTGGCTTTAGAAAGGCACTGTCCTACAGCTGGGAATCCGGAGGTGCCTGAGGGAGACGAGCAAGTCAGACTCCGGAGGGAATTTCCCGCGAGTGGAGGATTTCCAGTCTTGGGGTGGCCTTTCCACTAGTGTAGGGTGAATCCCTCACCATTCTCGCTCCCTCCTAAGCTCTCAAGGAAATGAGGCACAGCCCCCTCCCGAAACCCCCTGTGGACATTTTAGCATCGACCTGGTTTTTAGTCCTGCCCTATCCCTCTGTTGCTCTTTGTCTGCCAGCTGGATCTAACATCACTGGGAGGGGGGGTTTGTACTCACAGAAAGACTACTGATCCTACCAGAAAACTAACCTGTTTACTGTACTGTTGTAAATATCGTGCCCTTTATATCCTGTATATTGGCTTCTTTTAAATAAAGTGAAATGTCTTAGACTTGGTAGTGCGTTTTTTTTTTTTGAGGGTGAAAGTGGTAACTGAAGGAGGGGGAGATGACTTAAAGGCCACATTACAACTTATTAGACAATGAGTGACAACGGAGAGAAGTTTCATATCACCTGTTAACTTGCATCTCACAGTAAGATCTTGAGAAGACAAGAGGGTAGGAATTACAAAACACATTTCACAGAAGGGGAAGAGAGGGCCAGAGAGGACACAGGTTGTCTTAGTTTCTTTCCCTTGTTGCTGAGACAAAAACCTGACACCCAAATTAAGGAAGGAAAGGTTTATTTAGTTCAGTTTGTGGAGGTTTCAGTCCATACTCGGCTGGCTCCAAGGAGGGGTGGCACATGGCAAACGGCAACAGTTGATGGCGGTGGAAAACAGCAGAAGCGGTAAGAGCAAAATGGGAAGGGCGTGAGAGAAGATTCTTTCCCTCCCTTATACTGCCTATAGGCTACCCGCCCTAGGGTGAGTGTAGCACTTATCCCAGTACTAGATAATGAATCAGTCACAAACTCTAGATTCTGCTGCCCCATGACTGCATGAGGCTTTGGGGGACATCCAGACACAAACCATAACCCAGGCTAAGCGGCACTGCTGGTTTGGAATTGAAATCCTGTTGACTACAATGCCCCCACATCTCAAACCTCCTCATGGTGCTAAGAGTTCACCTCTTGGGACCCTGGTGTGATATGGCCCAGGGTTCTAGTTTCTTGTTAATGGCCACATTCAGGGTAACACTGCTCCACTGTGAGCCCACCTGACCAGGGTCTTCTAGAACAAAGAGAAACAGCTACTACCAACACCAGTTGGCTTTTTGCCATCTCTATTTTTTTTTTCTTCTGGTACCGGGAATCGAACTCACCACCTTGCACTTGCCAGGCAGGTGCTGTGCTGCTGAGCTAAATCCCCAGCCCCAACTTTTTGCCATGTCTAAGACATGGCACTTACGTAGCTTTCTTTTCCTATTCCCCACTCTTGGTTTAAATTTCCCAGTGTGTCTTAGATGGTGAAATCTGGGGATAAAGGTGTGGCTTGAGATGATGGGGCGGTTCTGAGGTATTACTCCCATTTTACAGAAGAGGGACCTGAGCCCTGCAGAGGCTATGTAATTTGTTCAGCATCCTATTATAGATCCTAGAACCTGAGCTGGCAACAGAATGGACTCGCAAGCAGGTGTTTGGTTTACACTGCTGGAGGAATTACAAACACTGGAAAATAGTGTGAAAAACCTTAACATTAATTTAGGAACGGAGTCCCTAAAACCTCGTCATCAGAGAAGACTTTAGAGTGAGTTTTAAATAAGTTCCAATACTGCACTGAGTTCAAGGTCAGCCTGGGCTACCTAGTGAGTTCAAGACCAGCCTAAACTACATAGTGAGGCTGTCTCAAATAAATACTGTATGTTCCAATATTCAGTAAACAGCTACTCACGGAGAAAACCGAAATTTTCCTCAAGGGTGGGAGCGCAAGAACAGCTGATTTTGCGGCCAGAAGCTTGGCGTTGGGTAGCTGGCTGGGCCCCGCACGCCAAGGTGAGGGTGGAGGGCGGCTGGGCCAGGCGGCTGGAAGCAGGCGCATCACAGAGCGCTGGCCACGGTGTGGCCCTGGGAGGGTCAAGGAATCTGGTCGCTGACAGGTTCCCAGCCTTCGACAAGCCGAGGGCAGCGGGAAAGGAGACCCACGGCCGTCACAATACCAGTAGTGTGAACCTGTAGATTGGCTCAGGAAATCCTTCCGCCTTCACCAGCGCGAGTCAAGGGTGCGCTCTCTCTTTGGCTACTGAGGCCAGCCTGCAACAGAACTCCTTCTGATTGGTTCAGAGGCTTCCCTGTGCTTCTCTGATTGGTCGGTGGGACTTACGCCCACTCTCCTTGGGTCATACCATAAAGAGAGGAGAAAACATATACATATATTTCAGAACTTTTCTTAAAGAATTCTTTGTCCAGGTTACATAAGTGCCTCTTTATAACTAACACAGAGAGATTATTACTTAAAGGACGTAGATCCGTAAAGAGGAGTCCGAGCTGGGTGGCCGGCCGGGGAGACACGGCTTCCCCTCCCTTCGAGGTGGTACATTCTCATCGAGGTCGCGCTTCGGCCGGCTGTCGCTGCCGCTAACCACATAGTTTAGCAGGAGTCGAGATGCTGCTACAACCTCGTTTGCTCCGCCGCGTCCTACTGGTCCGCCCATGGATCGGGGCTGGGTGAGTGAGCGCCTTATGCAGGTCGACACGGGTGCAATGCCTGCTGCTCGGAGTCCTGAGAGTCGTTGGGCGGCTCCCCGCGCCAGAACACTACCTGCGGCTGATCAATCCCGTTCGGGGTTGTCAGGAGCCTCCCTCTGCCCGAAGTCGCTTGCCTCCTGCCTTCACCCAGCCTTCCCTCTCGCGGAGATCGCTCAGTCCCCTGCTCTTCGCCTTCAGATAGCTATCCTTCTTTAGCCAGGGGGATCCTCTTATTGCAGCCGGGTGGGGTCCTAGGGGCCGTATTTTGCGCCGTAAAGTGGCTTCCTTCTTTACTAGTCTTCCTCCCTAATACTGGATACAGTATTCGAAATTTGCTGGTTTCGGAGGAGGAGCGTGTCTATTTTTAGCATGCCACGCCTCTGGCTTCTTTACCTGGTCTCATCTGCTGGACCCCCTCCTGAGATTCCCAGCGTCCTCTCCTCCTCCCACCCGGCTTTCCAACCTTCTCCCTCTTCGCCCCCCTTTTCCAGTTACATGTTAGCTAGACAAGAGGGGCTCCTTTCTTCTGGTAGGTGGAACGGTAATTGCATTAACGGCACATTAATTGCGTTTAATGTGCCCAACGCTGCACTAGGCGCTTGGCTGGGGTCTTATTGTGGAGACTGAATGAGTTGATACGCGTAAAGCGCCTTGAACAGTGCCTGCGCCTTAGGCAGTGCCTGATTATTATTACTGGCGTGCTCCTCAGTATCCTTTTTATTTGCACAACTCACTGCTGTGAAGCGAGGTATTATTATTCTAAACAATGAAGAAATGGGAGGTGCAGTTCCAGGGTAGAGCTGTCCTTCATGTCCAGATTTAGCCACGTCAGCCCAGTGGGGTTGGGTTCCTGGACCCCAGTGGCCTCCATATAAATGTTTTGCCCTGGGCTAAGTGCTGGGAGAAACATGGAACACACACTGCCCCGAGGGGCTCACAGATTGGTGGGCTGTGCATAGGATCGGCCTCCCTTTTAGAGCTGGACAGCACTCTTCTCCCCCTGTTTGAGTTTTGTTTGTCAGGTGTCCACGGCTGTGTCCTATGGGCTCCCTTACTGAGTTAATCAGTATTCCTCTCCCTGCCCCCAATGACTGGCATGGGTGAATTTCAGCTCTGTGAGGTGTGATCAAAATATATGGTGAAAGCTTCAACTTAAAAATTCATTACAATAAAGAGTCATTGCTATTAATCCCTCTTCAGAAGTGCTTCAGAAAGTGGCAAGAACAAAAAGCCTGGTGTGGTGGTGCATCCCATAATCCCGTTGCTCAGGAGGCGGGCCTTCATTCAAAATCAAGTAACTTTTGAGGGGAGCTGGATGTGAGGGCACGTACCTGTAGTTTCAGCACTTGAGAGGCGGAGGCAGGAACATTGCCACGAGCTTGAGGCCAGCATGGGCTACATAGTGAGTACAAGGCCACCTTGAATTGCATGGTGAGACCCTGTCTCAAAAAAGAAAGCCGAGCGTGGTGGCACATGCCTGTAATCCCAGCACTTGGGAGGCTGAGGCAGGATGATCTTTGTGAGTTCAAGACCAGCCTGGGCTGCAAAGTGAATGCAAGGCCAGCCTGAACTGCATAGTGAGACCTGTCTCAAAAAAAAAAAAAAAAAAAAAAAAGAAAAAACAAAGAAAGAAGAAAGATGGCAAGAACAATGGGGTAAACCCTCTCTAATATCAGGTAGAAAGCAATCCATGCTCTAAAGGGAAACCTAAAAACAGTATTTACCACGCAATGAGATACCACGGGCCCAACACTGCTGATCTGTACTGTATTGTCCCCATTTTACAGATGAGGCGCTATCTTCAAGTTTAGGCAGAGGTAGGACTAAAATTACATTTGGTCTCCTCCAGATTCATGGTCCTAATCATGAGGCTTCCTGTGTTGAGGGGGGAGAGAGAGTACTTTGAAACCCTTCCAGGCTTAAGTTACCTCTTCTGGCAGGATGCCTAGACCGGGTTTCTTAACTTCAGCACCATCAAACATTTGGGGCCAGATAAGCCTTTGTTGTGGGGGCTGCTCTGTGCACTGTAGGATTTCAGCAGCACCCCTGGCCTCTGCCCAGTGGGTTCCAGTAGCACCCCTTGTCATGAGAATGAGAAAACCCCTTCAGACATTGCTCCTTGTCACACGGGGGCAAAGTTGTTCCAATTGAAAGCCACAGCTCTAGGATAGCTTTGGAGTTCGATCACTTGTTCATTTGACTGTGTAGTGGTTGATACATTGTGCCAATTTGAGCAGGTTAGAAATTTAATTAAGGGACTCAGCAGGGGGACAAGGTCCTCACTTTGTAAACATCCTCATCCTGTGCAAGAGGAGGACATGGAAATGATGTGAGTGCTACGTCAGCCATAGTGGGGCTGGCCTGCTTACAATATTTTTTTGGCGGGGGGGCGGGGGGCGGGAATCGAGAATCGAACTCACAACCTGCCAGGCAGGTGCTTGCACCCCTGAGCTATATCCTCGGCCCTGGCCTGCTTACAATATAAGGGAGGACAAGAGACTTGCTCTCTTCCCTTTTTGCTCTTGCTGCTTCTGCTGTCTTCTGCCACCTTGAACTGTTGCCCCTCACCATGCCACCCTGTCTTGCAGTGAGCTGATTACGGACGGAAACCTGCACACATCGGGAGCTAAACCTTGTCTTCCTTAACTTTGGGTGTCAGGTATTTTGTCTCAGCAACCAGAGAAAAGTAACCAGGACAACATGTATTTAGGACATGCTTATAGTATGCTGTGTCTGATTTATGGAGAAGCAGTTTTAGGACATTTTTAGCAAAAGGTGCCAGTATTCTAGATGTAAAACTCATTCCAAGAAAAACTGCCTCTTTTGAAGAATGAGTAGTGTTTTCCCTTTTCACCTTGAGTGCCAGGAATCTCAACCATTTTTTTTTAAAATAAAAACTCTTGGTTACTGTGTTTTCTTTAATTAGTATGAGTCTGTTGTAAAAAGTAGATAGAATAAAAAAGAATCCAAAAATAGCCCATAAGTTCACCTCACAGAAGCAGCCACAGTTACTGTGTTGCTGAATATCCTTTCAACTTCCCATGAATGTATGTGCTGAAACAACAAGACGCAACAAAAAACTCACCTGTGTGTTCAGGTTCACCATCCCAAATCTGCAGTGCTCCAGAGTCTGAAGCTTTCTGGGTGCCAGTGTGACGCCATGAGAGGAAAAGTGTACATTTGACCTCATATAATGGATCTCCATCAAAATGCAGCTGTGCTACAAATACATAAAGTTACACTCAGGCTGTGTGCATACGCTGTTTATGAAACAAATGAATTTCAAATTTAGAGTTGACTTGCATCCCCCAGACGTCTCATTATGTATTTTGTTTTTTGTTTTTTTTAGAAAGGCCTCACTGCTGACCTTGAACTCATTAGGTAGCCCATAGTGAATTCAAGGCCTCTCAGTGATCCTTCTGCCTCAGTTTCCAGGGTGCCGGGACTACAGGTGTGTGCCATCACCTGACCTTACCTTATGTAAATACAGGTAATCCAAAATCCAAAAAGATCTGAATCTGGAAGAGTTCTGATCCTAAGCATTTCAGATAAGGGATGCTCAACCTATAAGTTTTGTAGTTTGTTTGTTTTTTTTTTTTCTTGCCATAGACTGTTGTCCCTTACTGTGGGTCCCCGGGACCCAGAGCTGTCTGGCACATGGTGAGCCCCTGGCAAACATTGAGTGAACAGATGAACTTACCAGGAGTCCTTCCTTGATAGTAGATGTTTCTCCCTGTCAGTCTTGAGCTGATCACTACCAACACATGCCCTTGAGGACGGGCCTAGGGATTGATACAGGAATGATATCAGGACCTCCAAATGATATAAAGGGAATGCTATAACTCCCGACCTGCCACGTGTCCAATGATACTCTAAGTTTGTGTTCCTCAAAACCGAAGAATGAATCGTAAGGAACAGTGGAGGTTAAGAGTAGGAAATATTTATGGAGGGAAAGGTAGCTTCTGCTTAAGAGAGGCAGAATGGGATTCGGAAAGTGGGTTGCCCATGAGTCCACTTCAAAGGAAGTTGTACAGGGCAGAATCACGAGGTGGGTGTAAGGTGGAACAAAACTATGGTCAGCCAATAAGATGACAAGCATGGCTGCATAGGTAACGTTGATCCAATGGGGAAGCAAGTCACGTAGCAAGTGTGCATGGAAGAACAGGAACCTTTCCTGGAAGGGGTGGGTCAGGGAGGACCTGGTCCCCCACCTAGGTGACTGGTGTCTACTTAGAATATCAATCGTTATGCCAGGGGAACTAGGTATAGTTATTCCATCTTTGTCTTGAGGCCTGGCCTTTAACATATGTGAAAGTGCCTCCAGCCACAGTTGTAATATATTCTCATCTGCACTGACTCCTTCAAAGGCCTGGTCCTGTCTGACTGCCTGTAATATTTCTATTTAACTTAGCTGTCTGTAATAGGATGGTAGCTGGTGGCTTGGCTACCACTTTCACGTGGGTTATTTTACTCAATACCTCAGTAACCTAGAAGGTAATTCTTTCACGGATTAAACACTGAGGCTGCCTCTGGTGTAATCTCAGCACGCAGGAAGCTGAGGCAGGAGAATCACCATAAGTTTGAGGCCAGCCTAGACTATAGTGAGTTCAAGACCAGCCTGAGCCACACAGCAAAACCCTGTCTCAAAAACACACAAAAAAACCCCCAAAGCCCGCCAGAGTTAATGGAAGTTAGGGAAAACTTGTCAGCGGCCTCAAGTTCACGCCAGCCCTCCCAGCTACTGCCTTCTTCCTCCCCTGAACCCAACTTCTGTCCTTTTCGCAGTTAACTTACTCAGTGGTGACCTTGGTGGTCATCTCTGCCCATTTTCTGGAAATGGGCAGGGCACAAATTCATATATACACTTAATGAGCCAAAGGGCTAGCCAGACACACAGTCAGCTTACCGGAAATGCTGCTTCCCTTTGCTTCCCCTTGTGCCAGACCTAGAGATGACTTCTGCGGAGACACTGCAGGGCT